GATTTTTTTAACTTTTATTATTTAATATTAAATTTTTTTTTTTTTTGAATTGAATTTAATACTGATTATTCGTACTCGATGATAAAAAAAATATTAAATGACAATTTTTTTTTTTTTTTTTTTTTACATTATAATAAACTCATATTCACCTAAAAAAAAATTCTTAAGGCATTGTTGTATTTAAACACAAACAAAAACAAATTATTATTATTATTATTATTATTATTTTTTAGGTATTCGTTACGTAATAATTTGTAAACATTGAGTGTAATGATTTTTTGTGTAGTTTTTATTTTTCAACATCCAAATTAAAAAAAAAAAATTAATTAATTAATTAATTAAGTGTAAATTAAATAAATAAATAAATTATTTGCTGAAATTTTTCGCTGCTTGCATTTTTAAATAAAAATAAATAAATAAATAAATATTATTTATTAAACACGTTTTGATATTATGTTTAAAAAATTTGATCAATTTTGAGAAGGATTTTCAATAAATAAATAAATAAATAAAAATTGCATTTGATTTAAATTTGAATTATACATAAAATTATTTTTTAATTATTATTAATTTTTTTTTCTTTTTCTTTTTTTTTCTTTTCATATTTAATAATAATAATAATAATGATGATAATAATAATAATAATAATAATTTTTATAGTTTTTAAAAAAAATAGAATTTTAATTTTTAATTTAGAATAAATTTAGATTATTTTATTGAAATGATGATGATGATAATAATTTTTATTATTTTAATAAGAAGAAAAAGTTGTCAGAGTAAAAACAAAATTAATAATTATGTATTATGAATAAATTAATTTTAATTAATAAATAAATAGAATTTTTTAATAGATTTCATTTTGACGATAAATGATTGATTGATTATTTAAAAAAAAAAAAAAAAAAGAAAGAAAAAAAAATCTATGAATCCATTTTTAAAAAAATGATTTTTTGTTCTTTTTTTTTATGTAAATAAAATTATTAACTTTAATTTATTTCCTATTAATAAAAAAAAAATTGAAAATGTTATTTTTGGGGTTACTTAATTAAGTTAATTTGAAATAAAATAAATAAAATAAAATTGTAAACTTTTTAAAAAATTAAATAAACAAAATATTAATTAATTAATTTCATTTAAATAAAAAAAAAAAAAAAAACGAAACAACTGTAATAAATGATTATTATTATTATTATTATTATTATTATTATTATTATTATCATTTTCGATACGAGTAATCAATTTAAAATATTTTCAATCCCGAGTTTTATAAAAAAAAAATTTTCTTAATTTTTTTTTAAAAAAAAAAGTAAACTTTCACGATGTGTATATATTTATATATGTATTTGTTAAGGCTTAAGACACCTTAGACAGGAATAAGAAATAATAATAATAATAATAATAATAATAATATATAATAACTTTTAGATTTAATTAATTTTTAAAAAAAAATCTATTAAAAAAAAAAAAAATTATCGATGTTAATTAATTAAGACGTACCAAAAGAAGAAAATGGAAGGAAAATTTTTTTTTTTTTTTTTTTTTTTTTTTAATGGCGTCAATTTTTTTTATTAATTAATTAAAATAAATAATAAATAAATTGACATTTCCACATTAAGAAAAAAATAAATAAATAAATGAGAAGAAGATGGAGGAGGAAGCACAGGTTGTGAATTAAAAAATATGAAATTATTATTATTATTATTATTAAAAAAATTTTCTTTTTTTTTGTCATATAAATAAAGGCGTTTAATGAAAATTTTTTAATAATATCTTGCCATCTTGAAAAATTTTTTTTTATTAAATTACTTGAAAGTTTTCATTATTATTATTATTATTATTATTTAAATACTTTGGGGAAAAAAAATAATAATTTTTTTATTATTTTTATTCACATCTTGTGTCTTTTCACTGATGTTTAATAAAAAAAAAAAAAAAAAAAAAATTTTTAAAATTATGTTTTGAAAAAATTAATTAATTTTTAAAATTACTATGTAGTAAAGCGCCTTTTATATGTAACGTAGTAAATAAGTATCATCTCATTAATCTTAGTAATTTATATATATAATTAAATAGATAATAAATAATTTTTTTTCTTTTATTATTCCAAAGAGCAGTAAATAAAATGATTCTTTTTGTAAGCATTTTCTTTTTTTTTACATTTATTTCCTTTCTTTCCCATATATATATATATTTTTTTGGTAATTAATTATAATAATTTAATTATAATCCTGAACTGTATTTAAATTAAAAAATTACTATAATGAGATAATATCTTATAAGAACACATAAGTAAGTATTTAAGTCTTTATCAAAAATGTAAATAAAACTTTGTTTACAAAAAAAATTAGCAAGTTTTATTAAGATTGTATTATTTGACAGCAAGTTTAAGTTTTTTTTGGATTGAAGAAAAATTAAAATTAATTAATAAATGATAAAGTAAATAAAAATTAGTAGTAATTTTTCCCACAGTAATAAAATTACAAATACTCAATTATGTGAGACCTCTTCATATTATAAATATGTATACCTCTTCATATTATAAATTTGTATACCTCTTCATGTTATAAATTCAAACCGTAATTTAACCTTTGATTTGCTATTTAAAGTAGTACCGACAAAATCTGTTACTCAATTACCAAATATTAATTCTGTTGTTTACTTATTGAAAATAACTTGGGAATATTTATTAAAGGAATTTACGCAATAAAATAAAAAAGCAAAATCGGTTTATCTGTTTATTAACGGAAACGACATTTTTATAACAAAATTAAGCGGCTTTAGTGGCTTGTTGTTGCTCCTTAATACGATCCTTTTTAAGAGCACCCATAAAAGCAAATTTGTCTTGTGGAGTCTGGAAGCGACCGTGTCCGAATTTGGATGATGTATCAATGAATTTCAAGTTAATCTTTTCAAGAGCAGAACGTTTGGTATGAACAAGCAATGACTGTAATAGAAATTTAATTATTTTCCATGAACCGAAACCACAACAAAACCTTAAATTTAATTCCTTAAATAAAAAATTTTTCAGTCCTATCATTCAATATCACAAAATTTTCAAAGGTCCATTGGCTCAAAGGTTTTATCATCATATGAATGTATTTTAGAAACTATTAGCCATCAACAACTAAATTATTTATGTAATGCAACAGTAGCATAAATTTACCTTTCTCAATGTTATAACTCTTTTCTTGGGTCCAACGCAACAACCCTTAATCATAATAAAATCGTGATTAACTTCACCATAGTGAGGAAAACCTCCCATTGGAGTGATGGATTTCTCAGTTAAATCATAATCTGTAGAGGCATTGTTTCCGACAAGCTAAAATTTAAAATAATATTACTAAAGAAAATAATAAAACATCCTGAAGATAAATTTATCAAATGAAATTCAGTAGGAAGGCAACAGCGTTAATATCCTCACAATTTTTTTTGGATCTAATAGCGTGAATACATCATCATTCAACTAATACATTTTGTTAAAAATAATTTATAATAAAAGTAATCACTTACCTTTCCATCCTTGTAATGAATGCCTTGACCAATTCTGTAGATTTTCTTATTCATTTCAGTACGATGGTGGTAACCCTTCTGACCTGCTCGAGCAACTGTGAATTGTACTCTTGACGGATGCCAGGCACCGATGCAAGCTACCTTTCTTAGACCTTTGTGAGTCTTACGCGGTAGCTTTTTGGTATGCCATCTTGATGTGACACCTAAAAAAAAAAAAAAGAAAAAGAATTAGAAATAAAAAAATAAAAAACTGAGCATTAAATGTTTTCAGCATGGTTTTCCCCTGTAATCATGAGCCAAATGACTTATACAAAGGTTATGGAATATGCTGACAGAGTCCTTAGAGAAAAATTGCTTTTTCAAAAAGAAATCTTTAATCTTTGATGCCCCAGCTAGAAGATATACTGCATTAAACAGCCTTTGGCTGGTGTAATTGTATAATTATACAATTAAGCATCAATACTGTAAACTTAAACTTATTATACAATAATAATACTTCAAACTTACCTTTGTAACCTTTTCCTTTAGTAACCCCAATGCAATCAATCATTTCATCGGGGGCAAAAACTTGGGAAACTGGTACAGGCTTTTCCAAATGTTCTTTAATCCATTTAACTTTTTGAGCCATGTTACCACCGTTAAGTTGAATTTCCATTATGTGAGCTTTTTTTTGCCTTTGTTTCAATAACTTCATCTATAAAACAATAATGTTTATGGAAAACGTAAAATCAAATTTAAAAAAAAAAAAAAAATTAAAATTAGTATGTATTCAGCATGGTTTTACTTAATGATCAACGCTTAATAAACTACAAAAAGTCAATGGAATATGCTGACAAAGCTAAAAAATAGCTTTTTAATCTTTGATGCTACAACTTCAAGATATACTACATTAAGTAGCCTTTTTTGTTGTAAATATGTTACACATAAGCATCAAATAAAACTAAACGATATGTAATAATGTAACTAAAATTACCTGAGTGTGAGCAATAACTCTAACACATCTGCAATATTTAATGATTTTCTTAAAAGATTTGTCGATGGATTTCACTCCTAATTCATCCTGCCATTTTTTCGATGCTTTCGTAAATGCTTTTTGTTCCGATCTGTACCTGTTAAACAACACAAAGGAGTAGTCTCATCTGTAATGTACAGAGTGGAAACTAGCTCCTTGCTCCTGAAATACTTTCAGGTGGCAATTAACTCATTTCCTGTAGTTACAGAAAAGTGGAGTTTTAAAAAAATTAAAACTCAATTAAAATTAGTAAAAAAAAAAAAAACTTATTTTAATGTCCAAAAATTTGGTTAAAATTTGGTTTGGTTAAATTAAGTGATTCACAAAGTCAGACCGCCCTAGAAATTTTCATCAAATAGATCAGAAAAAATTCCGTAAACTAAAAATTGTTGGTGTCATCATACGGTGAATCAATAAGATTATAGTTTTAAACATTAATTTAGTAATTACCAGTTTTTGTAAAAACGACGTCTGCAATCTTCAGATAAATGTTCAGCCCAGACCGTAACAAGAGCTCTCAAACCATGAGGTGTTTGAATGTAACCAACTGCTCCAACGATTATCATTGGCGGCGTTTCTATGATTGTAACGGCTTCGACGATTTCCTTTTTATTAACCTCTGCAAGTAAAAAAAAAAAAAAAAAAAAAAATTAGTATACTGATTCCACAACTTGCAAAAGAGTTCAAGAGTATTTATACTTACTAGAACCAGGTCTATCAGCCTCCCTCAAAACATGTGTCATCCCTGCTTTGTATCCCAAAAATGCAGTTAGATGCACTGGTTTGGACCGATCATCCCTTGGAAAAGCCTTAACTTTACCACGATGTCTGCGGGATCTCTTTTTTGGGTAGAAACCCATAGACCCATGCCGCGGTGCACTAAATTTCCTATGCGACTATGTAATAAAAAAAAAATCACTCATTGGAACAACATTGAGTTAAAGACCGATTTTTGAAACAAGCAAATTTTGTATAAAAAATTTTTAAAATGTTAAATATTATATAAAAATCATTAATATACATTATTGTAGAAGTAAAAAATATATAAAATATAATTTAGAAATTAAGAAATTAAGAGGATGAAAAACGATAAAAATTCTTACCATTCCGAACGACGAACCACGACGAAATGATGTGTGCAACGGGAAACACGTTAAACAAAGTTAACGCGCTAAATACTTTTTGTAAATTTTAAAATATTTTTATATTAAAAATAATAATTTATTAAAAATTAAAAATAAAAATAAAATTTTTAAAGTTTTTAAATTATATAAAAAGTTAATAATTTTTAAAATTATAATTTAATAAAGACTCTCATTTGACTCTTCAAAAAAAAAAAAAAACATTCTGAACACAAACTTGTTAAATTCAAACGAAAAAAATTTTTTTAACAAATCATTTATTTAATAAAAATTTAAAATTATTATTTAAAATCTTATTTTAATTTAACAATAATTTAATTAAATAAAATTTATTAAAAAAAAAAATTTTAAAGAAATTTCATTAAGTAATTCTTCATTAGGTAAATTTTTATATCCGCACTTTTTTCACAACTTAAGAAATACTTTCAAATAAAATAATTAATTAAAAAATAAAAATTAATTTTAAATTCAATTAGTAATATCCATAAAAAAATAATGAAATAAATTTCTGATCAAATCAAAACCAATGAAAAATGTAAAAAAAAATGAATGTACTGAAATTAAAATTATAATTAATCATTACAAATAGAAAAAATAAATTTGTAAAAAATTAAATGAAATAACAATATAATAGTAACACAATATTTAAACTTATTCCAAAATAATAAATATTCATCTTTAATTTACAAAAAAAAAAAAAAAAAAAAAAACTACAACAAAAGAAAAACAAAATTATTAAAACAAACTTTAAGAAATATTACAAACTAACAATAATTTTCTAATAACAAAAATATAAAAATATTAGATAAATTTAAATATTTCATATTTATTAAAATACACCATTAAATAATTTTTGTACCTTTTTTTTTAAAAACAGTTCAATATTAGTTAACTTCATTTAAAATTTTTTAAACATAAAAAAAATCAGCAACTAAATGAGTAACTGACTAATATTTTGTTTACATGATGTACTAATATATACAAAAAAAATTGGCGGGTAATTTTTTACTAGTTTTGACTACATTGAAGCATTAAGGCAGTCTATAAATTTGATGTAAATAAATTTACAAATTCTAAAAAAAAAAAAATAAATAAATAAAAAAAAAAATTAAGAACTATAAAATATTGCTAATTTTTCATTGGTGAATAATTAGTCTTAATAATTTACTTTTTCAGTCAATTACAACATCATTAAAAAAAAAAAAAAATTTTACTTTCTATAATATTTTTATATATATATATTATAAAATAAATATTTCAAAAATTTAATTATTTTTAATACTTTGAAAAAAAATATAATTTGAATTTTTTTAATTATTGTCTATTAATTTTTTGACTTTACTCTAATAAAGGACACTTGCTTTGGTAGACACAACAATGGCGCTTAATTGATTTTCAATTTATTTTATCTGTAACCACAAAAACTTTTTTTTTAAAATACATTTTTTACCGCACCGTTTATACAATGACAGTATATGATTAAGAAAAGGTGCTAAATGTTTAACATATTTCACAAAAAACAAAAAAAAAATACTTTTCCTAGCTTAATTTAAAATAAAAATTTCTCGAATGCACCCAAGAGTTTTTAATTAATTTCCTTCAGTCTACAACTCATTGGCGCCATTTTTTTTTTACTCAACACAAATTTTCTCTAAAAAATAAATATTTTAACAATTTAAAAAATTTCAAGTAAGGTAACTTATATTTTTTATGACTAAAATACACCTAAATATTTAAAAAAAAATATAAAAAGCTCTTTAAATTGATATGATATAATTATTTCGAGTAAAATAATTTTATTGAATGACTATTACTAAAAAATATTAATTGTCATTTACACCAAATAAAATTTTTTTTAGCATTTAAATAATAAATAAAAAATAAATCTTTTTTTTTGGTTTGGTAATAATAAATGAATAAAACAAACAATATTTGGTAATAATTGAATAAAAACAAACTTCAATTCAATTTAATGACTAAATTTATCAGCAGACTTCGACAAAATCTGAAATTTCTCTATGCTTTATTTCTTGGCGCTTATCTCTTTTACTAACTGACTTGTTATCAATTATATAATATCTAAGTAGTTTAGATGACCATTCCAGGCCTGCTGATTCGACTCCGATTCTGTGAGCAGTTACTATTTTATGTTCCGGTACAGATATTCCATCTTCAATCCAAAGTTCATCAGATTTAGATAAATCTTTTTTGTTTAATGTTTTATCAATTTGAAGACTTATGCAGAGTTTAGCCGGTCCGTTACACAATTCATGAGATTTAAAAACTTTTGTAGTTTGTTTTTGCGGTTTATCAGGACGAGGATTATTTCTAAATTTTTGCATTTCTTCTTGACCCTGTAATGGCTCTAAAGCCCTAAGTAAAACTGCTGCTCCCTCACCTAAAGTTAATTCAAAATTTATATTTTATAAAAAACTCGATAACATAAAAATTTAAAATTATACCTCTGCTTGAAATATTAAACAAAGCATACATTCCATAAGTTAAGTAGATGTATATAGTTCCTGGTTTCATAAACATTGGCTCATTTCGAGCAGTCACTTTTCCATGATAAGAATGAGATGCTTTATCTTCTCCTCCTAAATAACATTCTGTTTCCACTATTCGACCTAATATAAAAAGTAGAGTTAATACAAAATTAAAGAATAAAAGTATCCTTATAATAGAGTGAAATTTTGTCAATGTAAGAGTCAATCATTTGTAGGGAAAGCAAAAGTAATATTAGAAATCACTTAAATTTTAGTTAACAAGGCCGTGTAAATAAAAGAAAAATATCTAACCTTTTAGGATATAACCGTCTAGCTGACGAACAAGAATTTTTCCTAATAATCCTTTGGCTAAATCTTCACAAGCGGTGTTGTAAAAAGTTTCACCTAATCTTATACCGGTATCTAAAATTGTTTCCGTATTGACAATATCTTTTTTAATTTTATATTTAGTGGTAGGTAAAAAATAATCAGACTCTTCATATTCAAATTGTTCAAAATCAACTTCATTTTTTCGGGGTGTATATCTCTTTCTCTTATTTGACATTTTTATTCATGGGACGAAGAGGATTAAACAACTTTTTGTTTTAGGCGCAGTAATTTTTTATAAATTCAAAAAGTTTAAATCATTCCGTTTAAACTATTTAACATTTTTTCCCCGAATATCAGAATTATTTCAACGTAAATTATTGTTCTTTTATAGAAAGAAAAAAACAACATCAACAAAAGAATAAACTTCAACACCGGAAAAATTTAAAATTAGGACCTTATTTTGTACTTCGACTAGCGTAGTTAACTTGAATTTGATGCATACAATTCATTGAATCTAGTAAGAAAACTTCAGAATATCTATTTTTTATTACTTAAATAAAAAAGACAAACTAGTATTAAACTGATTTATCGTTTATATTATTTATAACGTTTATATTTATTATTTTTATCGGTTGTATCATTTTGAATTATTTGTTTGTCACGTTAAAAATTATGAAAAAGTTTCCGTTCAATCAGTTCAACATTTTTTTTTTTTTTTCAAAATTTCTTTTTAAAAAGTAATAATCAAATTAGTCAATAATTTTGACGTTTTCTTAAAGTACTTTTATAAAAAAATGTCAAACTTAAAGAAAAGATCAGTCACAGACACTGAAGAAGTACAAAAATGTAAAAAACAGATAAAAATAAGTGCTGATTCTAAAAAAAAAATAGTAAGCAATGCTAAAAAATCACGTTATTTTAAAAATTCTCCAAAAGATAAAAGTTCTTCAGATTTCGAAGATTTTGGAAATCATTTGGTGGAATGGAAACCAAACAATTGGGAAAAAACGTTAATGAATATAAGAGAAATGCGTAAAGATAAAAGTGCTCCGGTTGACACAATGGGTTGTGATAAGTGTTTAGATTCTGAATGTGAACCAAAAGTCAAAAGATTTCATGCCTTAGTATCGTTAATGTTATCAAGTCAAACCAAAGATCAGGTAACATTTGCTGCCATGCAGAGGCTAAAAAATTATAAGACTGGTCTTACAATAGAAAGTATTATAGAAATGTCTGATGATACATTAGGTGAACTTATTTATCCAGTCGGATTCTGGAAGCAAAAAACTAAGTACCTTAAACAAACTTGTCAAGTGTTGAAAGAAAAATTTGATGGGGACATACCTAATACAGTTGAACTATTATGTTCTTTACCAGGTGTTGGTCTGAAAATGGCTCACATTTGCATGAAAACAGCATGGGATGTAATCTCTGGAATAGGTATAAATTTATTCAAGTATTTAACATTAATTTTAATATATATATAAGCTTTAAAAAATTTTTATTTTTAGGAGTGGATACACATGTCCATAGAATTGCAAACAGAATCGGTTGGGTTCACAAGCCAACTAAAACTCCAGAAGAAACTAGAATTTCTTTAGAATCTTGGTTACCTAAAGAGCTTTGGGAAGAAATTAATAATCTACTCGTCGGCTTCGGGCAACAAATTTGTAAACCAACTAAGCCTTTGTGCAACAGTTGTAAAAATCAACCTTTCTGCCCATATGCTAAAGCTAATAATTAATTGTATTAAGTAAACTTTATAAAAATACCACTTCAGTACCACTAGAATAATTATTGTGTTCAATTGATCTAATAAAAATTTTTTTTATAAAATTAAATTTATTTGAATTATATAAAATTTGAAAATATATTTATTAAAAGCAAATTCTATGAATTATTATTATTATTCATTTTTTGTCTTAAAAGTTTTCTTCTTTTTTTTGCTTCTTTTTTTTGTTTTTTCAAATGCTTTTTCCTATCATAGTTTGACTTTAGTTGAAAAAGCCTACTGTTTTTCACTTTAAAAGTAGATTGTTGTTTTATCAATTTTTTTAATGCTTTTGCATTTTTTAAATAAGATTTTTTGCCACTATCACTCTTTGTCCTGTCACTAAACATTTCCATTCCTTCAAGCTCTAAATTTTGTTGAGCCAAGTTTTTACTATCTTCATTTTCTTCATATTTTACCTAATAAATTAAAATAAAAATTAAATTTTCTTGTAAAATTGCTTTTAAAATTAATTTTTTGATAAATTTATAATTTTCTACATATTTCTGTTAAAAAATAAAAGTAGTAAAGTAATTTTTGAATTTTCCATTTACAATTATTTTCAACTCAAAAAGTTTAAGTGAATTGAATTTATTTTCTACCTCGTTAACTCCAATCCAATGATTGTTTTTTGCCAATTCAGCAGCAGATAATTCGGTTATTTGAACAGAATGAGTATCCATATCAATTTCTTTTGAATTTAAATTTAGCTCAGGTATTGGTTTGGGTATCAGTAACAGTCTTTTATATGCCTCCTTGGCTTCAGCTTTTATTCTCTTTTTTTCCAATTTAAGTTTTTCTTCAAATTTTTCTATGGCCATTTGTTTTTTTTGTAAATTTCTTTTTTTAAATCCAGTAAGAAACTCTCTGAAAATATAAACATGCTTTAGATTTAATAATAATAATAATAATAACAACATAAGTTTTAATTTAAAAAAAAAATATAAACCTTCTAGCATTTTCATCGAAATTAATAACTAATTTATTTTTTTTATGTTTGTTTTTAAAGTTATGATTTCTATTTTTGTTTGATGATGACTTATTCATACTAAGTTTTAGAAACACTTGAATTAATTTTTTAAATTTTATTAAAATACAAAATACTTTAATTTTTCTTATTCTATGACATTTGACGGAAACAGTATTTTTGTGAACAGTAAAGTTTTTTGTCGTAAAAATACAAAATAAAAAAATATCCACCAATCAAAACGATTGAAATTCATTAAAGTCCGAAGCAGGTGCAGAATCATCGTCAGTATAAAAATGACTGAGCTATGGTTCTTTCCTCTCTGAATAAGTTAATTAAACAAACCAAATTTATCAATGGGGGAATCGATTTTTATTGGTTTAAACTCTTTATAACGCTAAATTATACATTAGGTATCACTTGAAAGGTAAATTCAGAGTTTATAAACAATATTTAAAAGTTTGACTTTTATAAGTTTTTAAATATATATATAATTGATGCAACTTTGAAATTTTGTTGTGTGCCCATATTTACAGTTCGTAATTTTTTTTGGAATTGAAAATCCTTTCAAATATTTAAATATGTAATTAAATTTTTTAAATTAAAGCAAAAAAGAAGTTAGGGGGTTTAATTTAAAAATTAATAATTAATTGGAACAAGCAAGCTTTTACCCTAATTTAATTTGTTTGGAAATTGACGATATTAATATTATCCTAAAGACTCGTGCAGTACAATTATTTTTTTTAAAAAAATTTTTTCTCAATTTTTTAAAAAGAGTTCTAGCTTGAAAGTTTATTGAAACGGTTTCAATTAGGCACCATAAGGTTTCAGTTTTATTAATTTTCTTAATGTTTAATTTCATGAAAAATATTTTGTTTTAATTAAAATTATGTGGTTTCTATTTTTTTTCTCTTTAGATGTTTTATCATAAATCATGACATCAAGACTTGATAGATTGTTTGTATACTAGAAAGTGGTTCATCCACTGTAACAAGAAAAGCAGCTGCTAAACATTAGGTGAAGTTCAAAAATTACATCCACATGAATTACATAATTTATTAGGAAGAATCAAATCATATTTGCATTCACCTACTTGGGATACCAGAATTGCTGCTGGACAAGCAATCCAGGCTGTGATTGAAAATGTTCCTTGTTGGGATCCAACACCTGTGCCTCATTCAGTAAATGGTAGTTATTCCTATTAATTTTTAATTTTTGGGACAACTTATTAAACCTCATTCATTTTATTTGCAGAAAATACTCAAAGTGATAGAAAAAGAAAAAAGTTAAACTTGAAACTTTTTGATATTAATAATATCATTAAAAATGGAATACATCTGACAGGATCAGAAGGCAAAGAATATGACATGCAAGAAGAATCTGGGCCTTGCAATGTCACTAAACAAAAACAAATTTTAAATGCAATGATTGGATTAGATGTTACAGATAGCATTGGCATAGATATGAATGATTTATTAACACCAGATGACTTGATTGCTAACTCAACTGATAAATGTAAAAAACCAGGGGTGAGTTATCTGCATTCAAAAGTTTTTTTTTTGCAAATAAAAAGACTTTTAATTCTTAAAAACTTTGTTTTTTTTTTTTTTTTTTTCATTTAGAAATCTGTAAGCGAACTTGTTCAATTAGAATTAAGCCAAGTTGAAGGTTTAAGTATTAGGGAAAGAAACAGAGCTCAAAGAAAGGCTAGACAATTGGTATCCAAACAACGCTCAGTTGACAATGAGGATGAAGAGCCTAAAAGAAAAATAAAAAAAATTGAAAGTTCTGTTGTTGAATCATCTGAAAATGTGCCAGATTTAACAGGGTCCTGGGGTAATGTAAGTATATTTAAATAAAAAGTTTTATTTTATTCTAAAATTGTTTTAGTTTCATGTCAAAATTTCTATTTTTAAACATAGTTTTAATAATAAACTGCTTTCTAAAATATGCAATGCTACGTTTTATTTCATACTAATTCATTTTTGTGATAATAAAATTAATATTGTTCTCTGATTCTTATAGGCAGTGGATTGGCCTTTTAATTCTTTTTGTGAACAATTAGTAACTGATTTGTTCAGCCCACGATGGGAAACAAGACATGGAGCTGCTGTGGGTTTAAGAGAAATTATTACTTATCACGGTAAAGGTGCAGGAAAAATGGCCAACACTTCCCAGGAACAAGTAAGAATTATAAAAATTTGAACAAAATTTTAAAAGCTTGCTTTAATTCAAGTTCAACTTTAAGTTAATTTTCTTAAGTTAAATTTTCTTTATTACCTTTAAATTGAGTGTAAATACTTGTTTTTAGATGGAAGAGGATCATAAGTTATGGTTGCAAGATCTGGCTTTCAGGGTTTTATGTGTTTTGGCGTTAGATAGATTTGGAGATTTTGTATCTGATCAAGTAGTAGCTCCCGTTCGCGAAGCATGTGCTCAAGTCTTGGGAACCATTCTTAAACTAATGGATAAATCCCATGTTGAAATTATATTAAATATCATATCACAATTGGTTAGCCAGGCAGAATGGGAAGCTAGACACGGAGGACTGTTAGCTCTCAAGTATATGTTGGCCGTTCGAAAAGTAAGTAACATATATTGATTTACGAAACAAAATATTTCAATCATTTTTTCTTATAAGTAAATGCAAATTTGATTAAAGGATTTAGTTCAAGACATTCTATCGGTGGCTTTACCTCTGGCAGTGGATAGATTATCAGACGAGGTTGATGATGTAAGTGCTGTAGCGGCTGCGTCACTCATTCCAGTAGCACTGGAAATAGTATCCAGAACGCCCGATCAATTACCTAATATTATTTCAAAATTATGGGATTTGCTCTTGGACCAAGATGATTTGGCAGCAGCGTGTAACAATTTCATGGGTTTATTAGCGGCTTTATTGAGTTTACCCGATACGAAAAAATATATAACGTAATAATTATTTTTTAGTATTATTATTATTATTTTTTTTTTTATTAACATTATAATTTAATTTATGGTGAACATATTTATTTAATTTCAGATCGCAACCTATTGCAGAATTGATTCATAGATTGTGGCCTTTTTTAAGTCATAATGCAACATCCGTTCGAAAATCAACACTTCAAACGCTTAAAACTCTGACGACATTTCCTGACGGAAGGTTCAACGACTGGGATTCCGAATTGCTTAAAGTAGCCATGAGGCACGTGTTTCAAAGAGTTTTGATCGAATCTAACGAAGAAATACAAGATATAGCTACGGAGGTCCTTAATTTTTTTAAATTGAAATTACACTGTGTCAAATTATTTGATGAAAATTTGACATTTAAAATTTTTACAGGTGTGGAGAAACCTAATTGTTAACAGTCATCTCAATACTCTTTTAATGGCGGCTTGTCCTTGTTTCGGTGGTTGGTTGTGTCTTTTAATGCAAAACTCAAAGACTGCTTTCGATCCTAATCTTTTAATTTTTGAAGACATGTCAAGGGTTAGTGTTTTAAGTAGTTTTAAAATTTATTTTATAAAATTTTATTTTACCTAATTTTTTCGGATAATCATCATTTTCAGTTCAATCGGAAAAATGGAAAAGGTACCATGGAAGCTTCTAATGTTCAAGTAGATCAAAAATATTTTTTGGGTGGAAGTGAAACTACCAACGTGGACTTGCGGAAAACGAATGCCAATAGAGCAAGGTGTTTGGGATCTAAAATGTTAGGTACATTCAAATGAATATATGTAAATATGATGGAAAATTGTAAATGTTTTGAATTTTCATTTATAACTAAAATTTATTCGTAAGGTTTATTGTCGCACTATATCGTGCAATTACCCCCTGAATTAGCGGTGGCAGAATTGCAAGGAGAATCTCCCATTCAGTGCTACATTAAAGTTTTGCTGTCTCATTTAAATACGAAATCGGCTCTTCAAAGACTCGTATGCGGTCTTGTTGTTTGCGAATGGGCAAAATTGCAAAAAGATACCGTTGAAGCGCAGGAATTAATCACAAGGTTTTAATAATAATAATAATAATAATAATAATAATACCAATCAATGTGCTTTTTTTTTTAATTTTTGATCTTTCATAATTAATAATTACACGTTCAATTTTTTCATATTTATATAGATTACACGAATGTTTAAACGAAAATATTTATTTTGATGAAATCGGATTAACATTTACTCGGCTTCTTCAAGAAACCAAAGACTACATATTCACTCTAAAATATTATCAAGTAGAAATTGATGAATCGTATATGGCACCTGTTTTATCATTAGATCAAATATTAAAATTAACAAAAAATCCTAATAAATGTAATAAGCACACTAAAAAATTGTTGGAAACTTTAGAAGACAGAAGGAAAAACATTTTTTCTGCAGCAAATCAGGTTTGTTTGTTTAATTAAAAAAAAAAAAAAAAAAAAAAAAAAACTAAAGTTGTTTTTAAATTTTTATTTTAAATTCCAAACTTTCTTTTTTAAAGTTGCTGACGGATCAGACTATGCTGAGCATAACTTGCCAAGCTGCATTGGCGGGATCCGTAATTGAATTAAAAGCAGTCACTGGAAAGTTAAATCCCGTCATAAAACCGATAATGGAATCGATAAAAAAAGAAGAAAGCGAATTGTTTCAACGGATAGCAGCTGACGAGATTGCTCATTTGATAGAACTTTTTGTCGATAAAACTCCTTGCCCTAATACTAAAATAATATCTAATCTTTGCACTTTCTTATGTTCCGATGTAGAATTTACTCCTAAAATTAATAAAGATTTTCAGTTAGTATTAAATAGAAAAAAAATTTTTTTTTTTTTTTTTTATTTAAAATTCATTTTTTTTTTTTTTTTTTTTTTTTTTTTTCAAGAGAACCGGATAAAAGTGTAAATTCTTTAGAAAAAGTTAAAGATTGTGGAATATTGACGTTAATTAATCAGCAAAGACTTGCCGAGAGAAGTTTGCCAAAGCGTCAAAATACGACGGGTACTAGAGGACCGGGACGTCCTCCATCAATTGTCCCGGAAGGTTTGACTCCAGAAAATTTAAATCAAATTGATGAGGTATAAGAAGTAATAAATTTCTCCCGTTTCTTTTTTAAAATTTTTGTATTTTTAATTTTTCGAAAATTAAATTCTTTTTAGAGTCAAAAAATTTATCAAATACAAAGAAGAGGTGCCACTTTTGCCTTGGAAGCTATCGTAAAAAGATTTGGAGAAAATCTACCGAATAAGTTGCCAAACATATGGGCTACGCTATGTTGCCATTCTTCTGTTGTTAAAACCAATGAAGATTTAATTGTTTGTTTGCAAGTTTTAGAATTAACTTGTTCTTCTGTTCATTCGAAACTTTTACCGCAGGTACCATTTTTTTTAAGGGTTTCGAAAAGAATTTTTTGGGTCAGTGTACGATTGATAACCTAAAAATTTTTTTCTGACGTTTTAGCTTTTGGATTCCTTGCCTAAATTATGCGAATTATTACAAAACGAGGCTTCCGCTATACGACACATGTCGGCAAGGTGCATAGCAGCACTTTCTGTTTTAGATACTGAACATGTCATGCAAGTAATAATTAGCACCATCGTTCCTCTTTTGTCTGTATCCGACTCCGATATAAAACGCGAGGGAGCAGCCGAAGCCATTTTTTGTTTAGTTGATAAATTACAATTAGGCATTATTCCTTATGTAGTTTTATTAATAATTCCTTTATTAGGTAAGTCGAACAACAGAAATAGGTTTTCCTTTTTAAATTACAAAAATATTATAATTATTTATTGTTTTTTTTTTTTTTTCTTAGGTAGAATGTCTGATCAAAATAGTGCCGTGCGAACGATTTGTACTCAGAGTTTTGCGACCCTCGTTCAATTATTACCTTTAGATAGTCCAATATTAGACGGTGATAATTTAAGTATCGAGAAAGAAAAAGAAAGGAGTTTTTTAAGATATTTGCTCAATCCAAAGACGATACCCGATTACAAATTACCCGTACCCATTAAAGCGGAACTTAGATCTTATCAGCAAGTAAGTTGTAAAAAATAAAAATGTCATTATGAAAAAAAACTAAAAATTTTTTTTCTATTGTGAATTTAGGCCGGAATCAATTGGCTGGCGTTTCTTAATAAATATAAACTTCATGGAATATTATGCGATGATATGGGTTTGGGTAAAACCTTACAGTCAATTTGTATATTAGCCGGTGATCATTATTATCGTCAACAAGAATATTTGGTAAGATGTCGATTAAATATAATTTTTTTTTTTTTTAATTGATTTTGTTTATAATATTTAATTTTTTTAAATTTAAGGAAAAGGGCAGTCCGGATTGTAAACCCCTTCCATCGATCGTAATATGTCCACCTACTCTAACCGGTCATTGGGTGTACGAAGTAGAAAAATTTTTATCTAAAGAATATTTAAATCCTCTTCAGTATTCGGGGCCACCAGCCGAGAGAGAAAAGTAAAGAAAATAATGTTGAATCCATTTAATTTTTTTTTTTTTTTTTTTTTTTTGTAACTCTGATGTAAATAACACACACACACACACACACACAAAATGAAAAGATTTTTAAAGAGAAAATGTTTTTTTTAATAAATTTTAGATTACGTTCTAAAGTATGTGATTATAATCTCATCGTAGCATCGTATGATATAGTTAGAAACGATATAGAATTTTTTAGAAGCATTAATTGGAATTATTGCATATTAGATGAGGGTCACATAATTAAAAATGGTAAAACTAAGGTATTCCCCCCTTTTTTTTCTTTTTTTTCTTTTTTTTTTAATTTTGACGCTCCTGTAAAAAGTTTAAAAAATTATTTCGAGCGTACAAATTTTTTTTCCAGGCTTCCAAAGCTATAAAAAGTCTAATAGCAAATCATAGATTAATTTTATCCGGAACTCCCATTCAAAATAACGTTCTGGAATTGTGGTCCCTTTTTGATTTTTTAATGCCTGGTTTACTGAGTACGGAGAAACAATTTAATGCAAAGTACAGTCGTCCGATACTAGCCAGTTGGGATCCTAAAAGTTCTCCCAAAGAACAAGAAGCAGGTAAGTTAATTTTTATAATAAATAAACTAAAGTTTGTGTCTTATAGATTTTTTTTTTTTTTTTTTTTTTTTTCTCCAGGGGTTATCGCCATGGAAACTTTACACCGTCAAGTTTTACCATTTTTGCTTCGTCGAATGAAAGAAGATGTTTTAAAAGATTTACCACCGAAAATTACTCAAGATTACATTTGCGAATTATCTCAATTGCAAGAGCAATTATACGAAGACTTTTCCAGGTCTCAGGCTCATCAATCCTTGCAAGATTCTCTTTCATTACCGTCTCATGCAAATACTCATATATTTCAAGTAAATCAAGTCTTTAAATTTTTATTTTTGCGAAAAAAAAAAAAGTTTAACGAATCGATTTGTTTTTTTTCAGGCTCTTCGGTACCTACAAAACGTCTGTAATCATCCCAAGCTTGTTTTAACTCCACAACATCCAGAATATCAGAAAATTATGACGTTACTAAATCAACAGGGGACTTCGATGGACGATATTCAACACGCTTGCAAATTACCCGCTTTAAAGTATTTTTAACTTATTATCATTATTATTATTCTTTTTTTAACGGGGTCGTGAATTAATATTTAAAAAAAAAAAATATTTTTTTTTAACACAGGCAACTTTTGTTAGATTGTGGCATAGGCAACGCGGCAGTAGCCAATGATGTCGTTTACATTAATCAACATCGAGCATTAATTTTTTGCCAATTGAAGTCCATGTTGGACATAATAGAATCTGATTTATTGAAAAAACATTTGCCCAACGTATCCTATTTGAGATTGGACGGTAGTATACCTCCTTCTCAACGTCACAGCGTCGTAAATAAATTTAACAGCGATCCGAGTATCGATGTTTTGCTTTTGACCACTCAAGTTGGTGGATTGGGTCTCAATCTGACAGGAGCCGACACCGTACGATTTAAAAAATTATTAAAGATATCGAAAGAAAGAGAGGAAAATTCGAATCAAAAACAAATCGTTCAAATATTATTATTATTATTTTTCAGGTTATTTTCGTCGAACACGATTGGAATCCAATGAAGGATCTTCAAGCCATGGATCGAGCTCATCGTATTGGCCAGAAAAAAGTCGTCAACGTTTACAGGTTAATCACACGAGGAACTCTGGAAGAAAAAATTATGGGTTTGCAAAAATTCAAATTGCTTACCGCTAACACTATAATCTCGGATGAAAATGGAGCCATGGAAACGATGGGAACGGATCAGGTATGAGGTGTCGGTTGGCCTGAAATTTCGGAGAGCATTTCAAAAAGTTTTAGTAAAATTTTAATTTTTAATTTTTTTTTTTTTTTTTTTTTTTATAGCTATTCGATTTATTTACGTTGAAAGATGGAGATGGTAAATGCGGTCCTTCGAAAAATTCGAATTCAAATTCGAAAACTCCAAATTTACCATTGAAGAGTCTTCTCGATAATTTACCCGAACTTTGGGAGCAACAACAATACGAAAAAGAATTCGATTTAACAAATTTTATAGCAAATTTAAATAAATAAATAATTTTTTAAATTAAAAATCGATAACATTTTCCACGTGTCCTATCGTGGGTGTAACCGTTAAATTGATTTTACTTTTTAAAAAAAAAAAAAATGTTATTCGTCGTTATATAGAGATTCAGTTTTTATCGTTTTGTAACGGTTAAATATGAAAATTTAAAAAAAAAATATAAAATTAATGAAGATTTTTGTAATAGCTAAAAAAAAAAGAAAATTCATAATAAATTTGTGTTTGTTTTTGTACTGATAAAATGAATTGTTTTTTTTTTTTTTTCCCTCCATTACTTAAACCTGAATTAATTTTATAATAAATTATTTTTGTTTTGTAAATTTTTAAAATTTTTGGGTGATTAATTTTGTCCTGAAAGCAAATTAACGGTAAAAATGAACCTGGATTATGTTAAAAGTGAATTATTTGCTTTTAAATTTGTTTGATTTTCAATTTAAAAAAATTATTTATTAACTTTACTAAAAATTATTTCATTAGCCCCTTTTATTATTTATTTATTTTTCACATCAATTAATAATTTGGAATTTTTTGTTATTATTGGAAAAATATATTTTGATAAAATGTAAAAATGAAATTTAGAAAAAAAAAAAAAAATCTGCGTCTTAAATTATATTATTATTATTGGGATTATTATTATTAGAAAAAAAACTGAATTTTTTACCCTGTTGAATCAGGTATTACACGTTACACCCATTTACAAAAAAAGAAAAATTTTTTTAATAATAATTACATTTAAGCAAAAAAAAAAAAAAAAAAAAAAGGGAAAATTTATTCTGGCACATCCGGTAACTTGCATTTCAATTTAAGTTCATTCCAATTTGTTTTTATATTATTAACCAAGCGACTACGATAACGAAAAACAGTCCTATCTCTTATGCTTGCCGTTTTAACACAATCATTTCCACCAAATTCACATATTCTGTAATGATGTAATATGGCCGAATCGGCAGGTACGTTAATCGTACCGTGTCCAGGTAGGAATTCCCATACGAAATGATTTCCGGCCTCAATGACAAATTCCGGTCGACATATGTATTTTGAACGTTGTTTATGAGGATGAAGTTTTGCTTTTCTTTTTGTTTTTTTCATCGTTATGAGTTTAGAATCTAAATTTTTTGATATTTTTGTCAATGGATCATCATCCCACTGTAGGTAAAAAAAGGCGTTTTGAAATGAATATGAACCGGGATTTTTCAAACGAATCCTTCTGCTTATCCACCTGCAAGGTTTATTTAATTATTATTAAGCAATGATAAAAATTTTCGTATGGCAATTTTATCATATTCTACCGTAAAAGATCCAATATGGAGTCGTTATATCTTGGAATTATAAATTCATCTAAATCAACCATGGCTACGTGGGAATATTTGTACATTCCTCGATATAAGCAGTCGTTTAAAGCAGCAAAAAGCCCCTCGGTTCTTATTTCTTTTTGGGATTTCATATTTAACTGCCAGGGAAGCATAGTCACAATACCTTTTTCCTGTAAATTTATTAAAATTTGAGATAACCGTAATGAAGCAAAAAAAAAAAAAATTTGATGTCATTTTTTACCATGTAATAATTCAATATACAATTAACACTGGGTCCAATTGTATGATTGTACATTGTGATATGTTCAACACCTAAAATCCTATACATTTCTAAAAATTCTAACATTTGCAACGCCTAAAATTTAAAAAAGAAAAATGTTTTCATACAGAATTACAAATAATTAAATTTTTGATGAGAAAAATTTTAAATTCCCTACTTTATCATAAAAATAATGTAAAGGTTTCACACAAACGGCTAAAGTTTCTTGATTTGATTTTGTTTTATTGGCAACAAATTGAAAATCTTTATCTAAATTTTTAACGATCAGGTGATTAGAAGGGGGATGACGAAGTCTGGATACAATAGATATCGAAGATGGCGTCGTTAAATTTCTCCTAAGGGGACAAATAACAAAGCAAGCACTGTATTTCAAATTCCAATTTTCTCGTATCATCTAAAATAAAATCATTTTGCAAAAACTTTTTTTTGTTTTTTTTTTTTTTTTCAAATATAATTTATAAAATTAATATTAATATTCACTTACCTTGAACTGTGCTGGAATGGAGAATGATGTAAATTGTGTTTTATTTCCAGTTGTAAGGGGATACCAAAATCTACACCATACTTTATCAGGACCCCTTGTTTTTGTAGCTCCAATTACTCTCACTGTGCGCCCCTTTCTCTTATCGTAATATGCTGAATACACATAAAATTTTGACCTGTAAACAAAAAAAAAAAAAAATAATTAGTGGGAAAATTTTAATGGATGATTTTTTCTTCAAAAATGTCTACCTCGTTCCAGAAACGGTTTGCCATTCGCCATCTTTAGCAGTCTGATTTTCTCTTAATGTTGGAAGCCTATCTTCAGAATTACTCAAATACTGATTATTTAATTTATCATTATATTTTCTTATTGGTTCACGCCTTAAAAAAGCAACTATGTTTGAATCGATTTGACGATTGTGATATAAAATATAATCTTCACCCTGATATATAAATATAAACATTATTACATGTCCTACAATTTTTTCTCTTTTTTTTTTTTTGATAAAATTTTGCTTACATCATCATAATCCGATCTGTCACCATATTTACCACTTTCTCCATATCCACTTTTTCTCACGCTCAATCCCTGATTCCTTCCTTTTTCATCAATAAGCAAAACTTCGGTTAAAACAATTATACCGAAAACGGCAAAAAACATGACGACGAAAAAGAAACTCAGGTTGGCTCTTTCTTTATTGAGCCTGGATTTTGCCAATTGTTTACGAAATAATCCATTTCCTACTCGTGTCCTAAACATCCTTTTTCCTTTTTTCCCTTAGTCATAATCACCGTTTAAAATACTTTTTGATAAGTTCTCTTAACTTCACAACAAACTATACTAATTCATAATTAAAAAATTGTACGCCTAAAAAAAAAAAAAATAATAATAATGATTTAATAAATAACAGAAATAAATACACGAACTTAATTGAATATTATTTAAACTGATAAATATCAAAAAAAAAAAAAAAAAATCAGGGAAAAAAATTTCTTTAATGACTTACATACCTGACAGTGAATTCATTTTACGTAACAGCCATTTTCGATTGTGAATATATTATTTATTAACGAGTATCGAAATAAATTTTATACGAAAACCTTTTTATTGAGAAACCTCATATAAAAAATGTCGTCGGATTTTATTCAGAAAAATAAATTTTAGTTGCACCCTACAGGGTAGTTCGACTTTAAAGATGTTTTTTTTTTTTTTTTCAACATGCGCAGTTTACCTCGTATATTTTCCAGTCATTAAGAAAACTTTTGAACCATTTCATCCTTTGTTTTATAATAAAAATCTATTTAAAAAATAACAATAATAATAATAATAATAATAATAATTGTCTGTAAGATAATAAATAATTAAAATCAGAATTTGTATTATTATTTTTTTCTTATGTAAAATTTACAATACAGGAGATAAAAAAAAAAGAGATCTGAAAAAATCTTTAAATTTACTGTTTAAATTTTAATATTAAATAAGTGTGTTTGTTGTTTTCTCTTTTCTATTATTTTAAAAGATAGTTAAATAAATAAGTTTAAAAGTTATTAATTTATTAAAAAGTTTTGTTTAAACTGTTTAAAAAAAAAAAAAATTATAATTGGATTTAAAATTTTGTATAATTGTATAAATGGAAACACTATAAATATAAAGTTATATTACAAAACATACTTACTAAACTTTGTAGTATTATTATTATTATTTTTATTATATTTAAATTTGTGAAATGAAGAAGAACCCAATCCATAGTAATCAATTTAATAAATGCTATAAATAAAATATTAAAATAATAATTATTTTAACATATAATATCTAATTATTATATGTCTTGAAAAAATAATTTATTATAATGCATTTAAAAGTTCAATTAGTTTTTAATGCTAATAATAATATTACCTTAACTATAAAAATTAGGTTTTATTTAATTCTTGATGAACAGTTAATAATTAAAATAAATTAAAAATTTAGTTTTAATAAAACTAATAATTTTTTTTTTCAACAATTATTTTATTTAAATTTGGCTCAATTAGTAATATTTTTTTTTTTTAAGTTGGCAACTTGTAATAGATTGTCAGTTGAATTACAAAGTGCAATTTCAAACCATGAGAATTGGTAATGAGCAATCATTTTATTTTTATTTTCATTAATTTTTTAATTTTTTTCTTTAAATGATATAAATACTCGATGATTTTCACTGAATTAAACTTAAAGTTATTTTGATTTGCGTTTTCAAAATGTGAATTATGCCATTTTAGTTTTTTTCTGACATGCTACATAAAACATCAAGTCTTTATTTTTGCCAAATTTTGAAAATAAAGAAATACCAATAACATTGAATTAGCCTTAGTCATTGCGTTTTTTTTTTTTTCCTGTTTTAATATTATCGTGTAATACATATATATATGTATTTGTGGGTCTGTGTGCATTTATTTAAAATTGATTTTTAATTTTTCTTAAAACCTAAAATTGAAAAAAAAATTTTTTGCTTTGCCTTATGATGAAAGAAAGTGGGGATTTAATTTAATACAAAAAAAATCATTATTATTATTTTTTGGGATATGAATACCATGTTGTTATTCATTAATATTTGTTTTATGCAATATTTATTATTTATCAATCAATTATTTAGCACATTTGAAGCACAAAAAGTATTCTTTTAAATCCAATTTTTATTAATATTCATTCGGTCAAATCATTTATTTTGAAAATTTTTTTTATGTAAAAGTATTTATTATTAAGTTACTTTTATAAAGTAGTTATTAAATTAATTTTTACTTAAAGATATTAAAATCACAAGGTTTTTTATTTACAATTTTTATAAATTTTTTTTTATACAGTATTATATAAATCTTTAAAATGAGCTTGAAACCAAAACAAATAAATTTTAATGCAACTTGGTCTGTTCTTCAAGAAACTGTTAAAGGTATAATAACCTTAGGAAATGTGCCTAGAGCAACATGGAATGATAGATTTAAGTAAGTAATTTAAACTGCAGTTTTTGAATACTTTGATGCGAATAAGAATCTAATTATTATTAATAATTTAGTGATGTGTATTACTTGTGTGTGGCTTACCCTGAACCTTTGGCCGATCGATTATATCAAGAGACCAAAAATTGTTTAGAAGATCATGTTAAACAATTGCATGAAAAAGTTAAAGCTCAAGGAAACAAAGAAAATACAGGGCTCTTAAAGGCATACTACACAGCATGGATTGAATATAGTCAAGGAATTATATATTTACATAGGCTTTACTCGTAAGTCTCTCAAACTTGCATCTCTTACTATTTATTTATTAGTTTTGTAATTTTTTTTGTTGGATTGTGCTCTTTAGTTATTTAAATCAGCAGCATATTAAAACTCAAAAGCTTTCTGAAGCAGACATCACCTATGGTGCATATACACCTGACCCTACAGAACAATTGGAAATAGGCGAATTAGGAATGGAAATTTGGAAAGAATTTATGATAGAACCTCTAAGGGAAGATCTCATTAGATTATTATTAGAAGTCATTGAAAATGATAGAAAAGGAATAACTAGCATTAATTCTTCAGATATTGCAAAAGTTATTATTCAAAGTTTTGTCCAAGTTCAAAAAGACAATAAAAATCCCAGTGCTGAAGTTTATAAAGTAAATAAAGGACTCATTTTTTTTTTTTTTTTTTTTTAAATATCATTACTTTGAAATTGATTTTTGTTAAATTTTTTTTGGTAGTATTATGAAGAAGTGTTTGAAGTACCTTTTTTAAAAGCAACTGGTCAATTTTATAAAATAGAAGCAGCAAAACTATTACAAGAATGTAGCATATCTGAATATTTAGAAAAGGTTCAACAAAAACTTCACGAGGAAGCTCGTAGAGTTACTATGTTTGTGCATCCTACGTGAGTTATTTTAATTAACAATAAGATAAAAAAAAACCTGTAAATTTTAATGCAAGTCATGGAACCTTTTTTTAATGGAAAAATACTGTTGGATTTTTTTAAATTTATTTATTTTTTTAAGATCTTATGAAAAAGTTCAAGCAAAGTGCGAAACTCATTTTGTGGTCGATCACATCAATGTCTTACACTCAGAATGTGTGAACATGGTCAGAGAAGAAAGAAAGCAAGATTTAAAAAATATTTATTTACTTTTAAAATCAGTAGCCAATTGTTTACCATTTTTAATTGAACAATTTTTGCAACATGTGAAAAGTCAAGGTTTTAATGCAATTAACAATTTACAGGGAGATAATGTGAGTTTCTTTTTTTTTCTCGATATTTGAATTTTAACAAAAACGGTCATGTTCTTATGCCCTCCCCCCCCTTTTTTTTTTTTTTTTTTAAAGGTACATTGTCAGTTTGTTGAAAATATGTTGAATGTTCACAAAAAATACAGAGATTTAATTGAAGAATTGTTTTGTAATGATTTACTTATGGTTGGTGCTCTTGATAAAGCATGCAATCAAGTCATAAATCATAAAT